TTCATCAACTCTGGACGTGGTGGGGCTAAACATTTGCCAATAGATAACGACACTGCCTCGTTATCTGTTAGCTGACAGGCTGTCAATCAAAACTCCCTACATTTGAAGCGTAACTGACTTGCCTGCGCGCTGCCGGTACGTGGTTTACGTACGCCTGTCACGCAGTCCACAGACGCAAGACGCACAGACGCTGTTTACTCCACCAACGCAACAGTTCTTAGCGGCTTTTTTTACCTATATCTTCCTCGCAGTTCGCACAAAGTTTGTTGCAATGGCGACAAGAATCCAGGAGCAGTTCGCCGCAAAAGAAAGTCAGTTTTTGAGGTCGCTGAAAGAAGAAGACAAGGGGAAAAGCAGCGAAGCCAAACTAAGGTGATTCTTGGAGATTCATTGCAGCGATGGCGCGACTGAAGCAGACGCAGGGTCTAAAGACTGACGCACTGGTCCACAAATTACTCCTGGACAGGAAACTTCTGCTTATTATGAAAACGTACTTTATTTCCAAGAGTTAGACAAACGTTTTTCAGGACACAAATGCGATATCCTATGTCTGAAAACGTAATTTTCAATACAAAGAAAGAGTCGGCTTGCTGCTGCGTGTTGTAGTAGTAGCTAGTTCATTTGCACGGAATCTCCGCGCACCCCGTCCTGCTCCTCTCTCCGCTCCCCATTTCGCTCTTCTCTCCATGCTCCTCACTTCTTCTCGGTGCACGGAATATCTCCGCGCACCCCCTCCCCCCGCTCCTCACTTCTCCGCCTTGCCTAACCAACACTGTAGTTAGTTGTTTACAAGTCATGTGCAGCGATGAGTACTTGTTTTCTAGAAACAAACCTGTTTCTGGCGTAAGGAGGAGGAGGGAGGAGGCGTTTCTACGTAGGAGCTGTAGGGGAGGGGGGTGGTTTCACGCATGCGCAACATTTGAAAAAGGACAAACAGTCGCTGGATTTCTCATTCCTTGGAAAATCCTCTATACAACCTTTAAGCTGAGAATATCAATTTGACTATAGCAAAAAACAAAGATAGAAATTTGGGTATGTTGCAAATTTGCGACAACTAGAAACAAGTGCTTGCCAAAGGTTCCTGCATATGCACAAAACTGGGGGGATGCAGCTGCTCTCTCGACTTATATCTTGATACCAAATGGTTTGTCGCATATTTGTGACAGTCGGCGTTAAGAGGATAAAGAATATTTTCAGTCTCTGCCCTAGTATCGGTTGATATCGGGTATCGACAGATGCTGAAAGCCACAGTACTGACAGCGTTATTGGAACAAAAAAAGTTAGATCAGTGCATTCCGGGAAGAATGACCAGTGAATCGAGAGCTTTGCCTTTGGACTCAGCTCCTTCTTCACCACCTGCCAATCTCCAACCTCTATAACCACAGACGTAAAGGTGCATTGTGTAACTTTTCTGGTGGAGGCTTCGTCAAACGCTTTTCTCCACAGATATCGTATTGCTTTGTCTAAGATCTTTCATAATATGGCATTAAACCCCATTCACAGACTATTTTTCTAGGTATTTTTGGGTCTATAAAACCACCAGTAACTATGTAAACAAATGTAAGTTAGAGCTGTTTAATGTCATACTGTGGAACATTCCAGGCAGAGCAGTAACATCCATAGAAACAAGCAACGACAAAAACTTACATAGCGCACCTTTACCGCTTGTTTTCAGCTCTTCTGGTTTAGTTATTTTCTCAAAACCCTTTCTTATCAAGTTCCTCTGCGCCTATACATTCTTTCTCCGCTGTACCAAAACACTACAATCTATCAACAACTCTCACAGCTGCCTATATAGTGCAGCTCCTGTCTCATTTCCGGGGTTTTTTTTTCTCCATTGTAAACTGCCAGGCGATGGGGTTTGAGAGGTTAATTCTCACTTGCCAATTCCAGCCTGTACCTGTCAGTCCTGTTGACATTATTGCTCATGTCCTAACACTGCAGGCATTACTGTAAGTGTGTGTTCCGAAGCACAAAGCGTGTAATAAACAAACCCCGTGTCCACTGTAGACGCTGCGGTTTCGTCAGAGCCATGAGAGGCCAATTAGCCATACTTGACCTAATCATTTATCACTGTAAAGCGCTTGTGTGAAGCCAGCGTTGGATGCAGTGCAGTTTAAGTGGAGCTAAGTATTACAAATGCACCAGTGGGTAAAATGGTGTGGAGGGGGTTGTTTATTGTTAATATGTAGAGATTGGGGTGGTCCGATAGCTAATATGTAAATAAAAAAATTGGCTTTGCTTCATATACAAGGACTTTAAACTGCTTAGGATGATACGAGCAGGTTCAAACTCTTTTTCAAGTGAAGTTCATTTCTCAATCCCGAGTTTTGACTCATGGGATTGACAGGGATAATAACCAATCAGAAAAAATGGATTGTGCATCAGTAAAACAAATATATTGACTATCTAAGGTTAAGTTACACTTTAAGTGCATATGCCAGCCTTTTATGATTCTATAATTTTGTGTTGATTCATCAGCTCGTTTCACTTCATGGAAAACGTCTGATCTCCCAGCGTTAGGATTCGTTCGCTTGACGGTAAGTGGGTACTTTTTTCATTTAACCAAACCCTTCTGTTTGGTCGTGACGTATGTAATGCACCAAATTCTAGGGCTGGGTATTATTAAGAAGTTGCCAATACAATACGTACCTCGATACACTGGCCACGATACGATATGTCTCTCGATACAGTGCACTTTTGGTTTGATACAGTATATTTCAAATGATTTCGATACAGTTCAGTTAAAAGAAAGGCTAAATCATGGCTGTGATACTAAAAGTCTTTGTGAAACTACTTCTTGTGCAAATTTAATAAGAAACACAAACATTTTAATCATCAAAACAGTGAATATGTCAAATGTGCTGGATAAATGAGTTTCCTTCCTCTAAACAATCAAAAAAAACTGCAGTGCTGTAACAAAATAATTTAGTAAAATAAAAAAAAAAAATTACTTTTGGTGATATATCGATACAGCAGCCCACGATATCAATACTGTATCATCACATTAAACAATACGATATAGCGATATTTTGATATTTTTTGCACACCCCTACCAAATTTCCATAGGAAGAAGGGCAATAACGTTTTTTCCGCTTGATAAAATTCACCAAACATTCTTTTTGTTCCGCTTTAAATCTCGGGAACCGTTGCCAACACAGATGTCTGGCTTCATCTACATTCATCTCGACGGCTTTGTTTACTGTTGTGCTGTTCCACAAAATGGACCCAGACAGGCGCTTGAGTTTGATGTCATGGCTTCACACAGCTCTTCACTGATTAGTCAGTGTGTGGTCTACAACTTCCACGGTTCTGGCAAAACAGTCACTAGTCACTGGGAGAGAAATGACATTGGACGGAGACACAAGGTGGTGCCAGCCTGACTGGGGATAATACCAGTTGTAAATATGAATTATAGTTTTAAACCAATCAAGAAGCAATTTGAGAGGAAAAGTTCAAAAATAGGTTGAAAATGACATGAAATGAAAGTTCTGTTTCAATAAGCTTCCATCTTGAGCCCTCAGAACTGAGCGAGAATACACCACTCCAACTCACGTACCCCCTACTACTCACTACCAACACACTCAGAACTACTACTACACCACCTACTACTTCACCATACTACACACACCACTAACCACTATTACACACTACTACCGACTACACCATACTATACCCTCCTACACTACCACTACCTACTACCACTACTACCACTACCACTACCACAACTACCACTACCACTACTACGTTTTTTCCCAGGTAAAATTAAGGATCTGCTGGGTAAAGGTGCCGTGGACAGTGCAGCAAAGTTAGTGCTGGTGAATGCCATCTATTTGAAAGCCGACTGGAGAAAGCAGTTTGAAAAAGAGAAGACACGGGATGCGAAATTTAGACTTAACAAGGTAGTAGTAGTTGTATTTTTATTTTTTTTTTTAAGACATGTACTTAATCTTGTACTTAATAGACTGTTAGAAACATTTCACATAAAACTATGACAGAAGGGGTTTAGGCTGAAGTGAAATCACTTACGAATGCCTAACCCTGAAAACTTAAGATCTAAAAAGTAAGAAAATATTAGATTAAACATGTATTAAATTACACTGTTACATATTGTTTGCTTTATCATTAAAAGCGAAATGTAACCTTTCTATAACATGTCCACCTAACATAGAAGTGCATCAAGTCAAGTGCATTTTCAGAACTTTTGATGTTTTCAAAAGCTCAAATTTGACCTCTCGTGCTTTGTCGAGTTAGCCGAGACAAACTGGGATGATGGGAAAGGCTGCTACATATAGGCTTCTGGAAAATTAGAGGCGTTGTCGAGGTGAGTTGTGGTTTCGCTGGTGAGAGAAGAGGGCGGCTGAGGCGTGGTCCTGCTCCTGAATCTCAGTTAATCATATCAACCTCCTATTTTACTTATATAATAATCTCATTCAATTTCAATATTTAGTCCTGATGTGGTCCTGGTTTAGTCCTCTGATCAGTGTTCTGTAATGCTTATGTTAAATTTACATTTGTAGAACGATTTTTTTATTGATTTTACGGTCAGTCTAGACTATAAACAGAAGGTCTGGGACTTGGATAGCTTGCCAATGATATATGTGATTATTCTAGTCATTTCAACTTCGTTAGTTAGTTAACACATGTCAAAAATGTTACAATGTTGTGGAATTGTCTTAATATCGAACCTTCAATATTCCTTTTGTATTTTTCTCATTTACAGCGTCAAACTCAGACAGTGAAGATGATGCACCAGTCAGGGATGTTCATGTTAAGGAAAGTTGAGGAAATCAGCTGCCAGGCAAGTAAATGAACCACACAATATAACAAGTCCTAAACAATGAGACTGTAACTATCAAACTATGCTCTTTTACAGGTGATAGAGATGATGTTTTATACATGTGAGCTAAGCATGCTCATTTTTTTTACCTAATGACATAAAGGACAGTACTACAGGTCTGGAGAAGGTAAGTACAACTACCACGTTTACTCCTGCCACTGCTACTACTAGGGTTGTACAAAAATAAATAAATATTTCTCCATCATGATAACGAGGCTCAGATTTTCTGCTGTGCATCTGTACTGTGCAAGGTATAAAATCTTCTGAAAAATTGTTTATTTCTTTTTTACGTTTATCATCAGGTAATTTTGCAGCTTTGGTACAATATACGTTTTACATTTGACTGGGATCCAGAATACCCAAAACACTACAGTAGAAACAATGCAGAGATACTGTATCATTGTGCATTTACCAGGCAAGTTTTACACATCCCTAAAACTGCATTATTTTGTATATATATATATATATATATATATATATATATATATATATATATATTTGATCTTGTCGACAAGGGCTGTGAAATCAGTCGAAATTTTAAAAAAAAATGTCTACATAGACTTTTAACAGTCACAAAAATCTTACTAGATCAGGGGTCTCCAACCTTTTTCCTCCAGTGAGCTACTTTTACAAAACGAAAATGACAGAGAACTACTAGTTTTAGTGGTCACAAGTCATTTAGGGCTACGGCGAGCCTTAGATGAGGCACAGTTAGATGCCTATAAAACATAATCATTATCCACTTAGTGCACAAAGTTAGGCATCAAAATGATACATGTACAATGGGAATAGGCATTTAATTATTCAAATTAGACTTACTCAGCATAATACATGTAATTCAGAAATCCCTCAACGAGCTACTTGGAAGGGGGTGGAGAGCTACTGGTAGCTCCTGAGCTACAGGTTGGAGACCCCTGTACTAGAGTATATTTTATACCACTATAATAATCATGCTTTCAATTATATAAGCCCTAAATTATTGTGAAAAAAAAAAACGTACCTTTATTTAACATGGAAAGTTCTGTTTTTCAAGAGAGTTCTGGCCAAGACACAGCAGAGATCAAACTGTACATACGCATACATTTAGACAATTACAAGAATTTATTAGCTAAAATCTAAACTATAGCTCTAAATTCCAAACCTTTTAGCATGAATTTAAACCGATCTATTGGAATCAATTTTGTTAGTTTTCGGTTCCAGGATATCTGTGCAGAATACTGAAATACTGCTTTACCAGTTTCTGTACAAACACTTTGTATAGAAAGTAGCGCTGAGTCTTTAGATCCCAAAGAACACTGTCCATCTATTGTAATTTTAGCTTTGGTTCAACAGTTCTAGTAGCAGTAACTCTAAAAATGCTTTTCAGTCACTGACTAAACATCTGTGTTCAGCTGGAGCAGCAGCTGACCTACGAGTCCTTTGTGGAGTGGACCCGCCGAGACAAAATGACCCTGTATAAGGTGGATCTGAGACTTCCTCGATTCAGGATTGAGCAGAACTACGAGCTGAATGAGGTCCTGAAGACCATGGGCATGGAGGACGCATTTGACCACTGCAAATGTGACTTCTCTGGTGAGGAGGAGGCCCATTGCTAACCTAAAGCGTGCTTTATTTTTCTGATATTATAACAGACTCAGGATGAACTAGTTAATTTAGTGTTGCACATTTCTTGTACAGCTCTGTGGCAGTTAGTTAAACAACATAACATAATAACTGATTTTAACCAACTAGACTTAAAAATAATCATGGTATTTCTACCATTAATGATACAAATCCACCAAGATCCTCCTTATTTCAGTGAAATGCTTCCCGTTTCCTGTCTTTGAGCCCTTGATGGGAGTGATGGATTTGGAAATCTCAATCAGGATCAGGATCCTTTTGATCCAGTCCAGCAAAATGTATAAATATCTGGATGGAAATCGGCTCCACGGATCAGAATCCAGGGATTTGGAAATATTGATCATTTTTATCTGAACTCAGTGTGTTGAAATACTGGCCCCCGGATGTTTTCTTGAAATAGAGGGTTGTAGTTTTAAGAAACAAAATAACTTTTAGTGCCATAAAGATAATGTATTGTTTCTTGATCAAATACACTTATGTGTGTTATTGTATGAAAAAACATGTTTTGAGCATTCATGACGTTCTTTTATTGATCACTGTAGGAATGTCACCTGCCAAAGACCTGATGCTGTCCCAGGCCGTCCACAGAGCTGTTGTTGATGTGAATGAAGCAGGAACAGAGGCGGCTGCTGCTACAGTGGTGCATATGTTGTGCGGACGCACATTAATATATATACCTCCTCCACGAGCCACTTTCAATGCAGATCACCCTTTCATTTTCTTCATCAAACACATTCCCACTGACACAGTTCTGTTCGCTGGGAGATTCTGCTCAAAACAATAATTCTGTGCATTACATTTAAATGGACATCTTCAGTGAAAATGTAGTGGGGAAATAAACACAATGGTTTGTTTGTGTGGGTGTTTGTATGATTACACATTTTATTATTAAGCTAAAAATGTAAAATTTCATGACTGTACGTTTGTTAAAAACAATGTTGTCATAGCGACGCATTGGAGTCATTCTTCATTTTGTCTCTGCTCAGGCTGTGGATCATGGAGATCATGGCCGAGTGTTCAGTTTGACAGTCTCCTCTAGGTCACGCCGCTCCTGCTGCTTCTCCTTCAGTTTCTGCTCCTCGGCTTGAAGCCCAGAGCGCAAATCTGACGAATGTTCAGAATTTTTTTGTGTGTTTGGATCCATAGCATTGTTTATAATGTTTATAATTATAATTATATACTGAGGTCAAGGGATGGGACAATTACTGGCTTTCAGATGACATAACAATACTCTGTGCACCAGTTATAGTTAAAGGTGCATTGTGTTTGTGGAGATGTTATTTCTTTCTCTGGAATGTTTCACAGGATGGTATTAAACCTTTCTATCTTCATGGAGACCAAACCAGAACAAGTTACAGGTCACATCCGTGGAAAGGTGACCACACTCAGTCAGAATCCCTGTTTTTCTAGGTATTTTTGAGCTATAAAACCATGTGTAATTAAATAAATGTAAGATAGAGCTGTTTAATGTGATATTATGGAACATTCCAAGCAGAGCAATGACAAAAAAATTACACAGTGTGCCTTTAATACAGATGGGGGGGGGGCAGATAAATTTGATATTGTTAAATTGCAGTTTTTTTGTTGTAGTTCATGGTTCAAATAATTTTACCTTTTGGTTATTTTATGTAGAACAATTATATCAATAGGAAAAATATCTCTCGCCCCCTTTCTGAGAGCATGACAGAGAGAAAGAGACTCAAGAATCTGAAAATCACCAATTGGAAGCTTTCAGATTCTGGCATGTGAGTTGTTTTTTTTATTAATTAGATTGTACTTTGCCAAGAAATATATTACCGTATATAAATTTAATTCCCAAATATGGAACCTGATCATTTATGTTACTGGGAAATTCAGTGATTTGAACACCCCCTCCCGTAAGTTTGACCGTGCCTGTGGCCCCATGCTGTGGCCACGACACGGGGGCGGTGTTTCCCCTCTTTGTAAAAGCTCATCTCCCGCAACAGACTCGAATGTACTGCGGATGACTTCCAGTAAAACAGCGGAAACCTCCACCTCTCTTTCTAAAGTTAAGGTCACGAAGACAACATCGCGCTCATTGTAGCTTTTTGTGCCAAGACAAACTCCTAAATAATGGGACAAGCGAAGAGCTGCGAGGGAGAGGACAAAACCTCCTCTGGTCAATGCGCAGCAGTAGACAGCCCTTCAACAACAGAAGGTGGGTGTGTACTCTTGTCTACTCAGTAACTTCAATATTTGACTTCTTAGAGTTGTTTTCAGATACTTTCAGACCGTTTTAATCATACTTGAACAATACATTGTTTGAAATAAAATAGCTTTCCATTAGGGCTGGGCGATATATGGATCAAAAAATATATCTCGATATATTTTGCTATATCTCGATATATGTTAAAGAAAAAATAACCCCCTAAAACTGAAAACTGCAAAAACAAATATGCCAAATTCCACAAGGTCTTTTTTAAAAATTTTTTTATTGAAGTGTAAGAGGTCGGCAGTTCATATTTGTGGAACTGTTAAGGACCAAAAAGGTGCCCAATTGTTCACTTTCATGGTACAAGCATGAAACCTTGCCAGATTAGTAACATCACTAGGACCAACATTTGTGGATATGGAACCAAGTCCGAGTCGACCCTGGAGCCGAGTACTGCACATGTCACAAAATGGCTGACATGGAAATAAGGCTGGGAGCTAAATTACTGCTTAAACCTCCTTTATTGGAAAATAATGTTAAATTAACATATAGGTTATAAACAGTGTTGGGGAGTAACCGATTACATGTACCGGAGTTACGTAATCAGAGTACAAATTATGAGTAACTGTATTCGGTTACAGTTACTGTTTCACTGAGTGGTAATTGGATTACAGTTAGTTTGTTGAAATAAATGGATTACACGGCGGTAATTTCCTGTTTTCCCATTTCCGGCTATATCCCCCCCCGGTAATTCCACTCATTGCCGGACACTAAACCAGGTCTAAACTAGGTCTAAACCAAGACCAAACCAGGACTAAACCAGGACTAAAACCAGGCCTAAAACCAGGACTAAAACAGGACTAAAACAGGATTTAACAGGACTAAATCATGCTGCATGGACCGTGTCTCTCCTTCTTCTGTCAATAATATTTGTAATCTGGTTAACTAAAGACTGGACTTTTTTATTGTCTTTTATCAGACAAAACATCTTATGTGAATATTTCCTAGTCTTTGCTTTTCTACAGCAAATCAAGTAATCCAAAGTATTCAGATTACGTTACTCACTTTAAGTAATTTAATGGATTACATTACAAACTACATTTTTGGGTATGTAATCTGTAATCTGTAGGGGAATACATTTTAAAAGTGGCCTTCCCAACACTGGTTATAAAGAAGAATATGTATTGTCAAGATACTAGTTTCTGCAAAGTGGTTTTCAATACTGTTTTTAAAGTGAAAGTAAAAATTTTATCACAAAAAAATATTTGATACTAAACTAATGGTGTTTTTTTAAAGGTGCATTGTGTAAGTTTCTGGTCTCCATGGAGATGTTATTGCTTCATCTGGAATGTTTCACAGTATGGTATTAATCTCCATGGAGACTAAACCAGACCAAGTTCCAGGTCAGGTCTGTGGAGAGGTGACCTCGCTCACAGTCAGAAAGCCTGTTTTTCTAGGTATTTTTGAGATATAAAACCACCTGTAATTGAATAAATGTAAAGTAGAGCTGTTTAATGTCACACTGTGGAACATTTCAGGCAGAACAATGACATATCCATAGAAACAAGCAGGTGGTGGACCCCACCTGTTACACAGTGCATCTTTAATAGTGTTATTTACTGTTTCTATTGCTTGTTTGGTAATTTTAGAGCAAAATAGAAATGCAAAATAATCTGGTCAAAAATGTGTAAAAATGAGTGTGTGAACTCCAAGTGGCTCCTGTGGTATCAAGTACTATGTGACATCAGACAGGACTACCCTGATTACAGCCAGGTGTTTTTGTTTACAAATCCCTGGCTATGGAGGGACTTTGAAGTGTGGATGCCTGCTAGACCATCACACTGTTCTTCATACCCCCTAGCCCCGCCCCTTTCTCCTTTCACTCTCTTCTTTAGTCCTCCAGGTACCACTCATTTTATCAGCTCTTTTTGAAATGTGTTTGTGGGTGGAGTTTAGGTGTTTAGTCCTGCTTTAAGGTGGTAGGTTTGATTTTTTCTATCTTCATTTCTCTCTCTCCTCCTCCTCTTTCTTTAACCGGTATATTCATTGGTTAAATCAGCTCTTCAGTCTTCCTTTTAGTTTCTTGGTTCAAATGGTGAAAAGACGATTGAAAATCTGAGAGTAAAAGTACAGTTACACAAAACATCTACTCAACTACAAGTACTACTGCAAAACTTGAGTAAAAGTATAAAGTACGCATATATAAAAACTACTAAACATGAATTCTTATTATGAGTGGGGTCACCTCTCCATAGATCTGACCTGTAAACATGGCCTGGTTGCACCACTGGCTTGTTTCCAATAAGACAGACAAGTTTAATGCCATACTGAAGAACAATATACTGTAACATTGCCATTATCGCTCCCAGCAGAAAAGTTACATAGCACATCATTAATACTACTAACAAATTTATACCTAAAAAAATCTTTATGCATTAATATTCAAATTGCCAGTGTGTGTAAATGACCTTGCATTTGATTATCCTTACCATAATAATAATGTTGGATAAGAAACATTTGCTATTCCATTGTCTTTTAAGGGGTCACGGTGATGGATTTAAATCTGGCGTGTGCCACAAATAAACCACAACCATCACCAAGTGTGGCCATAAGTGGCCATACCGGCTTGTCAAAGTCTGATCCTGTCAGATCTCAGAAGCTAAACAAGACTGGGGCTAGTTAGTACTTGGATGGGAGACACTGGGAAAATCAGGTGTCACAATGGGGCACCAGTTGTGTCCTTAGGCAAGGCACTTCACCCACATTGCCTAGTATGAAAGTGGTGTGTGCGTGAGTGATGTTGGTGGTCGGAGGGACCGATGGCGCAGATAGGCTGGCAGCCGCACACTTCTGTCAGTCTGCCTCAAGGCAGCTCTGGCCACTATAGTAGTTTACCATCACTGGGTACGGAGTGAATGAATAAAGCTCTGTTAAGCGTCTTTGTGACATGTGTCTGTGAAAAGCTCTATATAAATTAAGACTTACTTACCAAATGAATTTACCCCCCCAAAACACATCACAGTGTCATAATAACAATAATGACAACAGCAGTGGAGGACTTCTCGTTCCAGTAATCCCACACCAGACTGAGAACACCTTTTGAAATTGTGGAGATGGTGATTTGGGATTATGACCAAATTAAGGCGAGATTCGACCAGGTTTTAAGATGGCGTCGTATTGTCATTGCGATCTCTCAATCTGGAATGATCTGCAGATGTTCAGATTATGATCTCATCTAAAGAGGAGGCTCTGTGTACTACAGTGAGATATGGATTGTAATAAAGATATAAACCCATTATTAAGATCATCACATATTATTAGGCGTGTTCTCCCAAAAATAACAACTGGAATCGGTCGATTAAAAGCAAAAGGAATTTATTCCCTATTCAGTACAATTCTAATACAGAGCTCTGGGTCAGATCACTACCCCTGACGGCCTACGACTACACAGGTCTTAAATCTGGCAAATCTGGACGCCTCTGAATACCTCAAATCTGATTTTATAGACATCCATATGAATATGCAAATAATATGTTGAACAGATAACGCCTTTAAACTTCCTTGGAGTTTCTCTGCATTCCTTTCAGGGTCAGGGGGGATGACAGCAGCCAAATGTAAATCACAGCCAGTTTGTTTGGATTCGCACCAGGCCGAACCATCTCCACTGCTGCTGCTGCTTAACAATGGATTTCCTTAAAAGGACACAACCCTGCACAAAGATTACCTTAAAAGCATACATAGTTCACATTGTGGTACCTTTAAACGTACATAAGATTTCAGTGGTTGAACATTAACACAATGTGTAATAGTCAAACAAATATATAAAGTCAATGTTTAATATGCACATGTGATGCACTCAAGAAACTTCACCACTTGGTACAGCCTTCAATATTTACTATATTTTAGCTTCAAATTTTAAAATTAAAGTTAAAAAAAAAAAAAAACAGCTTAAACTGGTGAAATAATGTTTTTTTTTCTGCCCTTAATGTGAGAGGTACAGGCTATGTAAAAGGACAATGCAATTTAACGTCTTTAAAGATGCACAGTGTAACATTTCCAGTGGAAGGTAAAATACGTGCTTGTCTCCATGGAGATGTGTTATCGTTTTGCTTTCACTGTATGACATTGACCTAATCCATCTCCCTGGTGACAGTCAAGAGACCTGCTAAATGTCTACATTTTATTTTCAGTCCTTAACAGAATAAACACTGATATGTTTAATGCCATACAGTGGAACATTCCAGCCAAAGTTATAACTTCATGAAAGAAGCAGGTTGTGGACCCCCCACCAGAAAAGTTATAATGCACCATTAAGAATTGTAGTATTTTAAGACACCATATCTCCCCAGCCCTGCAGACTGGGGATAGAAGTGTGACCCAGTCACTGGTTACTGTTATGGACCACACTCCCCAGCAAAGGACTCATGCTATGAACTTATCAAGTGTGGATGCAGAGTCGCCTGTGCTGGGTGATGCACATGTGCAATGGCAAATTTGGCATGTACAGATTCATGCCAATGTGGAGGCAGCTGTACTTAAGAGCACTTTGAATAAGTTTAATGATTTAAGGTAAATCTCTGTTAAGCGTTTGGGGTTAAGCCTCGCTTACATGCAGCATTTAATTATTATTATGAAGTATGATATGGCACTTACAGATCTTTAGAGATGGTTAAATGCTTTTTGTTATCAAAACCCCTAAAAATATGGCTTTGAAAGATAAAGTATTGTATTAACATGAATTTCAACCAGAGGGAACCCAAACAACCCTTACATTCTAGAGGAAAACGGTCATGTGACCCCCTTAATGCTTTGGAGTTTATGAAAAATAGTTGTTCAACATTACAAAATGGATAACTAAGCAAATTAGACTGTAAGAAAGGGATTATGCAGTGTTTTTTATGCCAGTCTCGTTTTAATGTAGTCCATTTTGTGACATGTCCAGTTTTCAGCTCCAGTTTTAAATTAGACTTGGTTCCATATCCAGAAATAATTAGTCCTGGGGGTGTTACTAATGTGACAAAGTTTCATGCTTGTACCATAAAAGCGAACTATTTTGGTCCTTAACTGCTCCACTATATAGGAACATTTAAGATTACAAAAACCCTAATTACATAAATAATAATTAAACTGTAAAATAAAAGAAATAATACACATTTCCTTATTTTCATTCATAAATAAAACAACTCAACACAAGCTCATCTTTGCATTAACTCTGTTATCCACACCATAATCACAACCATAACCATGAGCTTCTTTAGCAGAAAAAGCTCAGGATGTTCCTTATTTTAACAGATCCATGTTCCTATCCAGCAGTAAGGAGCTATGAGGTTTCCCAGAATCCACTGCAGATCAAACCCAACGTTTCCAAACACTATTGTACAAGTTACACTGCAACAGATTATTAATTAAAATCTTCTGCATAAATAGACTTTACATTACTAAACTTTACAATATATAAAGCATAACGACTACGAGCCACATCAGCCCGTTTGAGATAATAATGTGTTTAATGCAGTTTTGCGCACGTGTGTTTACATTTTACAGAAACGAAACTTAAGGGCATGGCTCATTTGCATAAACAGCGCACTTCTCATGCAGCTCAGCTCGTTTAGCTTCTTTCGGGCTAAAGGACGCGACTCGATGGAATATGAGGATGTGCTGCTGATGGTTTTGTCTGTAAATGGTGGAAAAGGTTCGTGGTGCTTGAAGCTTTTCACTGGCACCAACTTTCGGCGTTCACGGTGGTAGTGAGGAGTGAAGGAGACACGCGCGGAGACGACGACAGAGAAGGTAAACAAGCGAAGCGGCGAAATCAAAATTTAATATAAGCATTATATCAATATATGCGATATGTCAGAATTCATATCGAGTTTAAAAACTATCTCGATATATTTAAAATACCGAGATATCACCCACCTCTACTTCCCATTGAGTAAATCTACAGTGAGTGACAAACGCCTTATGTTGACATTACTACATTTGAACGTTTGTGCTTCTTTGCGTTTATCTTCAAATCTATGTGGCCTATATTTTGTTGGCTATCCTTTGAAAATAAAAGATTTTGTGCATTATTTAAAGGTTGTATGGAGAATTTTTTTTTGTTTCAAATTGTCAATGATAGCATTATAGAGGTGCAGTAGCCTTGTAATTATAATGACCAAAAAAAAGAGAATAAAAATTCATCAACTCTGGACGTGGTGGGGCCAGCTAAACATTTGCCAATAGATAACGACACTGCCTCGTTATCTGTTAGCTGATAGGCTGTCAATCAAACTCCCTACATTTCTAGCGTAACTGACCTGCCTGCGCGCCGCCGTTACATGGTTTACGTACGCCTGTCACGCAGTCCACAGACGCAAGACGCACAGACGCTGTTTACTCCACCAATGCAACGGTTCAGCAACAGGTAACTTCTGCTTATTATGAAAACGTACTTTATTTCCAAGAGCTAGACAAACGTTTTTCAGGACACGAATGCGATATCCTATGTCTGAAAACGTAATTTTCAAGGCAAAGAAAGAGTCCGCTTGCTGCTGCGTGTTGTAGCTAGTTCATTCGCACTGAATCTCCGCGCAACCTTCTCTGCACCCTTTCCTGCTCCTCTCCCCGCTGCCCGTTCCGCTCTTCCCCCTCCTCCTCACTTCTCCGGGCACAGAATCTCCGCGCACTGCTCCCCTCTCCTCTCTCCTCTCCTCGCTCCCCGCTCCGCTCTTCTACCTGCTCCTAACTTCTTGTCCGCGAACGAAATGTCCACGCACCCCCTCCCCCCGCTCCTCACTTCTCCACCTTGCCTAACCAACACTGTAGTTAGTTGTTTACAAGTCATGTGCAGCGCACCGGCTGTAAACAAACCTGTTTCTGGCGTAAGGAGGAGGCGGGAGGAGGCGTTTCTACGTAGGGAGCTGTAGGGGAGGGGGGGTGGTTTCACGCATGCGCAACATTTGAAAAAGGACAAACAGTCGCTGGATTTCTCGTTCCTTGGAAAATCCTCTATACAACCTTTAATGTTTTGTCCTCCGGATTGAGCCTTTGCCCTACATCCAATTAAAATAAAACAGATGGTTGCTTACATCCAATTATAGGCCTACTCTTCCAGTTACTCTGGGTCATTTTCTTGGACCACTACTTAGCATTTCATAGTGAAGTAATAATATCCAAAAGTAATGTTCTCTTACTTGAGTAATTTTTGACTAGCCTAAAAGAAAAGAATAATTTGGCAACAACAGTGCGTTTTGAGCAGACAGAGGATGTCCTGGATTATCTCCCAGCCTGATTCAGTGGTGAGGTTTTGGGGAGGAACTTCAAATCTGGATGAGTAGGTTTCATTTGACTGTTGAGAGTGCTATTACAACATTTATATTTTCCCTATTCACTTTATTTTAATAATGATAATAGTATACAACATTTGTATAGCACTTTTCATGACACTCAGAGATGCTTCACCCAGTACAAAACGTCAGCTGATCATAGGGAACAGGTGTGGTGGGGGTGTGGTGGCGGAGGAGCTCAGAGAGGTAGGTGGGGTCCAGGTTATGGAGGGACTTGTACACAATGGAGATCTCTGAAGACAGGGGTGATGTGCTCACGGGAGGAGGAGCAGCAGAGGAGAATTGTGTCATATCCTAATCCTTCCATATGCTCTAAAGGAATTGCTAAGGGACAAATTTTCCAACCTCACAGAAAATGAAACTTTAAGGGACTTCTTAACCTGTTATGATTCAACCATCTTTTGGATTTGCCAGACAAGTGATGCTAAATGTGGTCTTAAAAGGAACATTTAACAGTCTTGTTATTAATAAGCTGTGTAACTTATTGTTTCTTTCATTTCCTCTGCAGAAGAGAATCTGTCCAAAGCCAACATCACTTTTACTCTGGATCTGTTCAGATCTTTGGGAAACCAAAACAAAAGCTCCAATGTTTCCTTCTCTCCTCTCAGCGTCTCTGCAGCACTCTCCATGGTGCTACTTGGGGCCAAAGGCAGGACAGCAGATCAGATGAGAGAGGTAGGACTTCATAACCTGGCTCACGATAAACTGTGTATATGTGTAGCACCCTGACTTGAGTTCTACACATGATCAATCTGGGACGGCTCTCGCTGAAAGTGATTGTAAAATGCGGAACGTCATGGCAACTATTCAATTGTGATTGGTCGAAACGTCACAACAGCACAGACATCTTCCTTCTCCACAAATGCATAGATCGCTCACATTTTGCACGTTTTTCACAAACTAAACTGTCCATATTGATGCTAAAATAGGCTGAAGTTCGTACGTCTGTTTGTTGAAGAATCACATCAAGTGTGAAAAAAAACATCACTGGTTTTGCCAATATGAATGGCCTTTTTAAGAAATGCTATGAATATGTTTATTTCTTGTGTTGAAAATGTTGTAGTGTATGAAGGAGACAGTAATTCACCTGCACCGGAAAATGTATTTTAGAAGTTCTTAATAGCCTTACAGTGGTTTCAATTAAATTACTGTCTGTTACTTATTACTTGCTTTGATTCCAATTCATATTTCCATCCATTCAGAAAATTGTATTTAAGCTTTTCACTGTCCTTATCATTAATTTGTCTGTTTCCTGTCCACCCACAGTGCTTGAAAACTAAAGATTGTAAAGATGTCCATTCCAGTTTTGCTGCCCTGTTGAAAGAATTAAACAAAACAGATCCATCATATGCTGTCAGTATTGCCAACAGACTGTACGGAGAACAGTCCTACGAGTTTATAGAGGTATGTCTATATTGTCTTCACTGAACACTAGCTCCTGCAGTTGTCACAGCAGTGTTCAGGATGAACACAACAGGAAAGGCCTCACTTTTACTCCACTCCGAGGGAATGGCCCATCACCACCGATCGAAACACCAAAGTATTTCCAGTGGAAAGTCTTCTGTCACATTTGCTGCCTCATATGGTGTAAAAAGCCTGGAGCATCTCAAATGCCCATAGCTACCTCCTTAACTAGCCTCTTGTACAATCTCCATTGATACAGGAAAAACAGTGTTAATTTCACACAATCCCAACAGTCTGTTGTGTTCATTCCCCAAAGTATTTGCTCTGGAAGGCCTGAGAGTATTTCCTCTGGAAGGTGTTCTGTCACATTTGCAGCCACATATGGTGGGAAAAGCCTGTAGCATCTCAAATGTCCATAGTCAGCTTCTTAGCTAGTTTCCATGGATATGGGAAAAACAAACAGTTAATTTCACACAATCCGACAGTCCCTTGTTTGTGTCCTTTGAACTGCACATGCTGCACTTCTTAGTTGGTTAAAATCCCATGATATGAGGTTACCGTTCAGTACTGCCAGTATGAAGTCAAATTTAGTCAGTGAGTTTATCTCACCTTACCCACTGACACCAACAACTATCAACCATTCACAGAAGTTGGAAGTGTCTTGCCCAAGAGCAATGAAGTGCTGGTAGTGGGATTTAACCCTCAACCTCTGGGTTAGTAGTAGGTGAACGGTTATTATGGGTGTTTATTTTTTACTTATACTTAGTTTGGCGAGATAATGTCTGTGGTAAATATTAATCATAGTTTTACATCAGTCAAATGGCAATCATATTGACATTATAGAAATTTCTATAGCTGAATTTGGCAGTTACAAACTACTGCAATGTGCCGGACATTTGAGAAAGCATTTTATTTTATTTGTCATTTTAGATGTTTCTTGAAGGGACCAGAGAATTCTATAATGCAGAGCTAGAGACTGTGGACTTCATCAAAAAAGCAGAAGAAGCACGAATCCAAATGAACCGCTGGGTGGAGGAGCAGACACAGGGTAATTCTTACTGTTTTTTATAATTATGTTTTTATTACCAGTTATTACAGCATCTAATGCTACTGCTACTACTGCTACTGCTGGTGCTTGTTCCCAGGTAAAATTAATGAATCTTCTGGGCAAAGATACTGTGGACAGTGCAGCAAAGTTAGTGTGCTGGTGAATGCCATCTATTTGAAAGCCGACTGGGAGAAGCAGTTTGAAAAAAAGAAGACACGGGATGCGAAATTTAGACTTAACAAGGTAGTAGTAGTATTAAATGTATTAAATTAGACTGTTACATATTGTTTGCTTTATCATTAAAAGCGAAATGTAACCTTTCTGTAACGTGTCCAGCTAACATAAAAGTGCATCAAGTCAAGTGCATTTTTCAAGTGCAAAAGCTAAAAAAAAAATGTATTGTTTATTTAATTGTATGAATATTATTGAGAACAAACAGTGCTTGAGCACTGTTTGTTCTCAAATTTGAATTTGGTTTAAACCAGTTATTTGAGTAAAAGTTACTCTGCATTGGTTTTAAGACTGTATTGCATCATCAGAAATGAATAAATGTACAATATTATAAATGTTGTAATGGGTGGTGCTATAGATATACTTTACTTATGTACTGCATCATCAGGAATAAATAAAGATATAATATTGTACATATTATAAATGTTGTAATGGGTGGTGCTATAGATACCTCCTACTTTACTTATATAATAATCTCATTCAATTCAATTTCAATATTTAGTCCTGATTTGGTCCTGGTTTAGTCCTTTGATCAGTGTTCTGTAATGCTTATGTTAAATTTACATTTTAGTCGATTTTTGTAACAGATTTTACGGTCAGTCAAGACTATAAACAGAAGGTCTGGGACTTGGATAGCTTACCAGTGATAATATATGTGATTATTCTAGTCATTTCAACTTCGTTAGTTAGTTAACACATGTCAAAAATGTTACAATGTTGTGGAATTGTCTTAGTATCGAACCTTCAATATTCCTTTTGTATTTCTCTCATTTACAGCGTCAAACTCAGACAGTGAAGATGATGCACCAGTCAGGGGACTTCATGTTAAGGAAAGTTAAGGAAATCAGCTGCCAGGCAAGTAAATGAACCACACAATATAACAAGTCCTAAACAATGAGACTGTAACTATCAAACTATGCTCTTTTACAGGTGATAGAGATGTTTTATACATGTGAGCTAAGCATGCTCATTTTTTTACCTAATGACATAAAGGACAGTACTACAGGTCTGGAGAAGGTAAGTACAACTACCACTTTTACTCCTGCCACTGCTACTACTAGGGTTGTACAAAAATAAATAAATATTTCTCCATCATGATAACGAGGCTCAGATTTTCTGCTGTGCATCTGTACTGTGCAAGGTATAAAATCTTCTGAAAAATAGTTTATTTCTTTTTTACGTTTATCATCAGGTAATTTTGCAGCTTTGGTACAATATACGTTTTACATTTGACTGGGATCCAAAATACCCAAAACACTACAGTAGAAACAATGCAGAGATACTGTATCATTGTGCATTTACCAGGCAAGTTTTACACATCCCCAAATTCAATAAATTAAAAAAATGTGTACATAGACTTTTAACCGAGTCCCAAAAATCTTTCAAGACTATACTTATGCTACTGGTTCATTTTGACACAATACCTATTTGCAGTAGTCATGGTTTCAATTATATAAGCCCTAAATAAATAAATAAATGACCTTTATTTAACATGGAAAGTTCTGTTTTTCAAGAGTCCTGGCCAAGACACAGGAGAAATCAAACTGTACATACGCATACAATTAGACAATTAGATGCAGGCATTTAGACAATTACAAGAAATTATTAGCTAAAAGTTAAACTATACCTCTAATTTTAAACCGATCTACTGGAATCAGTTTTGTTACTTTCTGGTCATTTTGTTTATTGTTGCAGGATATCTGTGCAGAATACTGAAATACTGCTTTACCAGTTTCTGTACAAACACTTTGTATAGAAAGTAGCGCTGAGTCTTTAGATCCCAAAGAACACTGTCCATCTATTGTCATTTTAGCTTTGGTTCAACAGCTCTAGTAGCAGTAACTCTAAAAATGCTTTTCAGTCACTGACTAAACATCTGTGTTCAGCTGGAGCAGCGACTGACCTACAAGTCCTTTGTGGAGTGGACCCGCCGAGACAAAATGACCCTGTATGAGGTGGATCTGAGACTTCCTCGATTCAGGATTGAGCAGAACTACGAGCTGAATGAGGTCCTGAAGACCATGGGCATGGAGGACGCATTTGACCACTGCAAATGTGACTTCTCTGGTGAGGAGGCCCATTACTAACCTAAAGAGTGCTTGATTTTTCTGATATCATAACAGACTCAAGATGAACTAGTTAATTCAGTGTTGCACATTTCTTGTACAGCTCTGTGGCAATTAGTTAAACAACATAACATAATAACTGATTTTAACCAACTAGACTTAAAAATAATCATGGTATTTCTACCATTAATGATACAAATCCACCAAGATCCTCCTTATTTAAGTGAAATGCTTCCCGTTTCCTGTCTTTGAGCCCTTGATGGGAGTGATGGATTTGGAAATCTCCATCAGGATCAGGATCATTTTGATCCAATCCAGCAAAATGTATAAATATCTGGATAGAAATCGGCTCCATGGATCAGAATCCAGGGATTTGGAAATATTGATCATTTTGATCTGAACTCAGTGTGTTGAAATACTGGCCCCCGGATGTTTTCTTGAAATAGAGGGTTGTAGTTTTAAGAAACAAAATAACTTTTAGTGCCATAAAGATAATGTATTGTTTCTTGATCAAATACACTTGTGTGTGTTATTGTATGAAAAAAACATGTTTTGAGCATTCATGATGTTCTTTTATTGATCCGTGTAGGAATGTCACCTGCCAAAGACCTGATGCTGTCCCAGGCCGTCCACAGAGCTGTTGTTGATGTGAATGAAGCAGGAACAGAGGCGGCTGCTGCTACAGCAGCGTATATGATGTTAAAATGCTCATTAATGTATATACCTCCTCCACGAGCCACTTTCAACGCAGATCACCCTTTCATTTTCTTCATCAAACACATTACCACTGACACAGTCCTGTTCGCTGGGAGATTCTGCTCAGAACAATAATTCAGTGCATTACATTTACTCACAAGAGAGGACACACTCTGGACCTGCTCATTACAAAGGGTGTAAATATTTCAAATGTCAATGTGGTTGATGTTGCTCTGTCTGATCATTTCTGTGTCTTCTTTGACCTGTCTGTTATTCCCAAACCACCGGCTGCTCCTACAGTTGTTCGAAGGAGACACATAAATGATAACACAGGTGCACTGTTCATGGAAATGATAAATTTTGAAATTGCCTCATGTTCTAATGTTGATGATGTGTTGAACTCTGTGACTTTGAGTGTTTTGAATGTTCTGGATGCCATCGCCCCGATAAAGGTTAAAATGGTTAAAGATAGGCAAAAAGCTCCGTGGAGGAATGATGACTCAGTTAGAGCACAGAAAAGGGAGTGCCGGAAGGCTGAGCGGAAATGGCGCAAGTCAAACCTCCAGGTTCATTATGAGATTTACAGAGGAACAATGCATATGTACAACTACACTTTGAGTAAAACAAGAGAGAAGTATTTTTCGGACATTATTGGTAATTGCAGTAACAACTCTCGTGTCCTGTTTGCAACAGTGAACAGATTAACAAACCCTCCAGCTCCACTGCCACTAGAACTAATTTCCACATCTAAATGTAATGAGTTTGCAGTTTTCTTTAATGACAAAGTTCAGGGCATCAAAAATGCCATCAATTCCACAACACAAATAACAAGCATGCAGCCACAGAGACACTTAGAGCTGAATCACTTTGCACCTGTAACTGACAAAACTGTTTTAGAGATCGTTACCAGTCTGAGTTCATCTACTTGCTGCCTGGACATGTTACCCACTAGATTTCTAAAGTCTGTCCTCAACAGTTTACTTTCACCACTCACTCACATAGTTAACATGTCACTTCAATCTGGAACATTCCCAAACGCATTGAAAACTGCGGTCATTAAGCCTCTCCTAAAGAAGAGCAGTCTTGATGCCACAGTACTGAACAATTTCCGACCCATCTCAAATCTGCCGTTTTTTGGCAAAGTCCTTGAAAAAGCTGTTTACCAACAGCTTACGAACTTTCTCCAAATGAACAACTCCTTTGATGTTTTCCAGTCAGGTTTTAGAGCCCACCACAGCACTGAGACTGCTCTTATCAAGGTGACAAATGACATCCGCCTGAACACTGATGCAGGCAAAGTCTCAGTCTTGATCCTGTTAGATCTGAGTGCTGCTTTTGACACTGTTGATCATGGGATCCTCTTACAGAGACTAGAGGACTGGGTGGGCATCTCTGGTACTGTACTAAACTGGTTCAAGTCCTATCTAGAAGACAGGAAGTATTTTTGTTGAAATTGGAAACTGTGTCTCAGATCACATGGCCCTGACCTGTGGGGTGCCTCAGGGGTCAATCCTGGGCCCCCTGTTGTTCAATCTCTACATGCTGCCATTAGGCCAGTTAATAAGCAGCAATAACGTGTCCTACCACAATTATGCAGACGACACTCAGATCTACGTCTCTCTGGCAGCAGGAGACTATGGACCAGTGGACTCACTTGGTCACTGCATCCAACAGATCAGTGTGTGGATGCAAAACAACTTTCTCCAGCTAAACTCTGACAAGACTGAAGTCATATTCTTTGGTCCACAGAAACAAAGGGACAGTGTCAGCAGTCACCTCCAGTCTCTCTCTCTAAAACCTTCAAATCAGGCAAGAAATCTAGGGGTAATAATGGACTCAGACTTGAACTTTAACAGTCACATCAAATCAATAACATCTGCAGCCTTTTACCATCTAAAAAACATAGCAAAAATCAAAGATTTACTGTCTAAAGTAGACTTGGAGAAACTTATCCATGCGTTTGTCTCCAGTAGATTAGACTACTGTAATGGTCTGCTCACTGGTCTCTCCAAACGAGCTGTGAGACAACTGCAGAACATCCAGAATGCTGCAGCTCGGGTCCTTACTCGAACTAGGAAGTATGAGCACATAAGTCCTGTGCTCAGGTCTCTGCACTGGCTTCCTGTGCCTCAGAGAATAGACTTTAAAGCAGCTCTGCTTGTGTACAAGTCTCTCCATGGCCGAGCACCAAAGTACATCTGTGACATGTTAGTGTCATATGAACCATCTCGCACTCTGAGGACCTCAGGGACCGGCCTCCTGTTGGTGCCCAGAGTCAGGACTAAACAAGGGGAGTCAGCGTTTCAGGTTCATGCAGCTAAAACCTGGAACAGTCTTCCTGAACATGTGAGACAGACTCTTCTGTGACGCTGTTTAAATCCAGGCTCAAAACATTTCTGTTTAACTGTGCATATAACTGAAAGGTTTTCATTCCGCACTCTTCTCTCCAATTTATGTCTCTCTTTTTTTAATTTTAATCTTCATGATTATGTTTTGATTTCTTTTTATTATGATTTTAATGTATTTCTTATTCTGTAAAGCACTTTGAATTACTTTGTGTACGAATTGTGCTATACAAATAAACTTGCCTTGCCTTGCCTTACATGGACATCTTCAGTGAAAATGTAGTGGGGAAATAAACACGATGGTTTGTTTGTGTGGGTGTTTGTATGAATACACAATCACACACTTTGAGGATTTTAGTCACACATTTTAATTTAGACTTAGAACGACATAAAGTAAGATCATAAAATCTACAAAGGCATATATTGTTAAAAGTAAGATATAATTCATTACACATTTTATTATTAAGCTAAAAATGTAAAATTTCATGACTGTAGGTTTGTTAAAAACAGTGTTGTCATAACGACACATTGGAGTCGTTCTTCATTTTGCCACTGCTCAGGCTATGGATCATGGCGATCATGGCCGAGTGTTTGTTCAGTTCATCCTCCTTCTGTTTTAGCTTCAGCTCCAACTGACTCTTCTGCTGCTCCAAGGACGATGCCTTATAATATAACAATATAACATTTAGCTTTCCATATATTTAAAAGGACCATACACCTTCACTAGAGTTACAATGTTTCCTCAACACAAACATACCTGGAGCTGTATTTTATTTCATTCACACATATTTAACACACATATTTAGGCTGAAAACACTTTTCACACTATTCCACCTTGTGATGTCATATTGTAATACAGGAAGCGCTCCACTGTGTTTTTAAACTCCATACACCTTCACTAGAGTCATTTGGAAAATTTAAGCCATGGAAATGCGAATCTCTACTGGACTAAAAGTAAAAGGAGCTGTTAAGTTCCATACCTTGATGCTGGTGTCTTTTCGTGCCTGTTGCGTTTTGTCCAGCTCTTTCCTTAAGACGTCGACAGTCTCCTCTAGGTCACGCCGCTCCTGCTCCTTCTCCTTCAGTTTCTGCTCCTCGGCTCGAAGCTCAGAGCGCAAATCTGACAAATGTTCAGAATTTTTTTTTGTGTGTTTGGATCTGTAGCATTGTTTATAATGTTTATAAAGCTTCTGAAAAAGGCCATTCACATCACTGAGGTCAAGGGATGGGACAATTACTGGCTTTCAGATGACATAACAATACTCTGTGGACCAGTTATATTTAAAGGTGCATTGTGTGTGTGGAGATGTTATTTCTTTCTCTGGAATGTTTCACAGTATGGTATTAAACCTTTCTATCTTTATGGAGACCAAACCAGACGAAGTTACAGGTCATATCTGTGGAGAGGTGACCACACTGAGTCAGAATCCCTGTTTTTTCAGGTATTTTTGAGCTATAAAACCACGTGTAATTAAATAAATGTAAGATGGAGCTGTTTAATGTGATATTATGAAACATTCCAGGCAGAGCAATGACAAAAAAGTTACCCAATGCACTTTTAATACAGATGGGGGGCAGCTAAAATTGATATTGTTAAATTGCAGGTTTTTGTTGTAGTTCATGGTTTGAATAATTTTACCTTTTGGTTATTTTATGTAGAACAATGATGTCAATAGGAAAAATATCTTTTGCCCCCCTTCTGAGAGCATGACAGAGAGAAAGAGACTCAAGAATCTGAAAATCACCAATTGGAAGCTTTCAGATTCTAGCATGTGAGTTTTTTTCCTATTAATTACATTGTACTTTGCCATGAAATATATTACCATATATAAATTTAATTCCCAAATATGGAACATGATAATTTACATTACTGGCTAGACCCAAGAAGACCATGCTGTATAGATCTGACAAATGTTTAGAAAAGCTGCTGCGATAGGTTGTTCACATCACTGAGGACTAGGGATTAGGGGTCAATTGATAGTTTTTGGACTGTAGAATGTGAGTTTTTCTCACTGATTACGTTTTACTTTGTTATAATACCCAAATATGGAACTTGAGCTACTGACTAGACCCAAGACCATGCTGTATTACACAAAAAATATATATATCTATCTAAAAAAAAAAGGTCTATCTATCTAGCATTTGTCTGTCTCTATTTATTCACCTATTCATCTAAATGAAAGGATCAACAGCGGGACAAAGTACAAAATGTCTGCGTATTAGACTAGAATACATAATTAAAAGATATGGATTATTTACAGATTGTTGATTCACTGACCTGTCAGGTCACTGTCCTTTTGCTCCAGATCTGAATGTAGAGATTTGATTTCTTCCTCTCTCTCCTCCACCAGCGCCACCATCCTGTGATACAGTACTCAGCTTTGTTACTTAAGTAAAAGTACAGATACAAAGATAAAAATTTACTCAAGTAAAAGTATCACATGAAAAAATCTATTTCAATACAAGTATTAAAGTACCTGTTTAAGTAAAAAGTAAGTAAGTATTTTACAGAGAGTTTTAGAATGATGTAGTGAATGTCATTTGAATAAGATTTTAGCTAATTAATTAATAGAAAGATTCCACTGATTTCTTAATTTTTCTAGCAGTTTAGGTGTATTTGGTTTGCTAAAAGTTGGGCATTAACTAAATTTAAATGTGTTAAAGTCTCCGCCATTTCAGCAGGTTTCAAACCATAAAGAAAACTTCTTTATACTTTTCATTCCAGATCTAAAATGTAGTGGAGTAGAAAGTACAGCTACCTGCTCTCAAATGTAGTAATAGTAAAAAGTATCCACTGTAAAATGGATTTAAGTACAGACATCTAAAATTTGTACTTAAGAATTGTACTTTTACTTTTGTACTTCATTACTTCCACCACTGCTCATGTTAATACATTATATATAAATATGTTTTTAGCTTTTAGGTTGATGTTTTATTTGTACAGAAATGATCTAATCTTGATTTTGAGGTGCTCCTTGATGCAAAAAGACTAGACTCAGCTAAACACACGAGATGGTTGTGGTGTTTTTAAATATTAAACACTGTATATAATATAATAAAATGTCTGTAAACCTGTCATTTTGCAGTTGAAGCGTCTCATGGTTTTTCTTCAAATTCTCGTTTTGCTTTGTCAAAGAAATATGAGCCGCCTGCAGCTCCTTCAGCAGACGATCACTCTCATTCAACCTAAAAGGAAAGGGAAAAATACAGTAAAGAGAGGCGCAAGTACTGTTAAAGGTGCATTGTGTAACTTTTGTGGTGGAGGGTCCATCAAATGCTTTTCCTCGGGGAGATGTTATTGCTTTGTCAGGAAATTTTCATAGTATGGCATTAAACCTTTCCATCTTCATGGAGACCAAAACAGACCAAGTTACAGGTCACATCTGTGGAGAGGCGACCCTGCTCACAGTCAGAATTCCTGTTTTTCTAGGTATTTTTTAGCAACAAAACCACCAGTAATTGTATAAATGTTTAGTAGAGCTGTTTTAATGTCATACTGTGGAACATTCCAGATGGCGCAATGATATATCTATAGAAACCAGCAGGTAACAGACCCCCAACCAAAAAGTTACCTTCTATTTGTACATAAAATTTTAAAAAAGTAGCAAATATTAACAACAACAAAAAAAAAAAACACATTGAAAAAGAATGTATGTCCAAACTTTTGACTGGCATCTGTTTTGAGCTGATGTATAACAGACTCAAACACATTTATCCACTGGGACAAACAAAGTGAACCTTGATAAATGAATGAATAAATCTCTCAGCAGTAGTTTTCCCCCTGACCTGTTGAGCAGAGTGTTGTATGCTCCCTTCAAAGTCTGGTGCTCCTCTGAGTCCTGCTGCAGTCTGCCGTTGTGTTTGAGCAGTTCTTCGATATCAGATTTACACCTCTCCACCTCCAAGACCTGATTACCCAGGTCACACTGAAGCTCCTCACGCCTACGCTCTGCCTCTTTCAACAGGCTGCCCAGCTTTCGAGCCTGGAATAATAAATAATAATAAATACTTGAAGGGCTATATTATCCTATTTTCGGATCTATGTTATAATGGTGTCGAGTTTGTTTCATTCACACATGTTTAACACACAAACCCTTCATATTTAGGCTGAGTTCTTCTCTCAAACTGAAAACACTCTGTTCGACCTTGTCATGTCATGTGGTAACACAGTGCTCCACTGTGTTTTTAAATTCCATCCACTTTCTCTAGATTCATTTGGGTGCTTTCACCCTGGAATTTCCAACCTCTACTAAACAAAAGCTAAAAAGTAGCTGCTAATTTGAAAGCTACCATTATATGACACCACAGATGGATCAGTGCATTTTGGGCTTTGGAGATAGAGACAGACTAATATTAAAGGGTTACTCAAACATGTGTGAATGAAACAAAACACAGCTCCAGGTATGTTTTTGGTGAGGTAACAGCATTATAACATCGCTTAAATGGCTCATAATATAGGATATTATGATATAGATGAACATGTATGCAAATAATATAACATACTGAATAATCCTGTTGAAAAAAGGTGTGTATTTACCTCGGCCTCTGCTTGAGCTTGTTGCACTCTAAACTGGGAGATGAGACGGTCGGCTTGAGACAGAGCCAGAGCCTTGGCCTCCAACAGATCTTGAAGTCGACTCTCTTTAGACTGGAGACAAAAACACACGTAAACCTTATTGCTCCACCTCTTTTGTAATGAATGTAACTGCTAATACATAACATATTTAGATCACCGTGTTGCCTTTTATCGCTTTGAAAAGTTATATTCACCGAAAACATATCAAAATGTTTTATATGTTTCACTTTCATTTTTCACCTACTAAATCCCATCCCTTTGCTCCCCATGCTAAGTCACTCCCCTTTGGCACACAAAACATTGGCATGCATCCCAGTAATGAAACAACCTTTGTATATTTATGGAAAAATGCCGTGCCGAGGGATGGAGGACATAGCAGTACAAGCCCACAAGCCTAACTGTAAGGAGGGTTCGAATAGGGCCAGTGAGATATGAGCTAAATTACTGAAAAATGCATGGATGACCTCTAAACCCAAAGCTGATGTCAAGAATCCCTGCTGGTGTGAACTGGTATCTCAATTAGTTTAATTTAATTTGAGTTTTATTTTAACATAATATGACCAGAAAGACCTGACTTGATTGGAACTTTAATAGGTGAAATGATTTGTTGAGTTGTTTAAATCAATTTGTATATAGTTTTCAGACTATCTTAAAACATTTTGGCAGTTTTTGCTAATAGAG